CAATTATCCTAAAAATATCAATTACACATGTAATTTATTATCAAATTTGGTTTGACATGTACATATACATGTACATACAANCTTTCTAAACAACATAAGGACATCAATTTGAATTTTTAAAATGTAATAAAAATTTGGGATGATTTCGGAGTCATTTTTTGGAAAAAACCATGGCTATAGCCTTAGGTATTTTTCAAAATTTTGGCCTTTAAAAAACGGTTGTAACTTGAAAAATATTCGTTGGAATCAGTTCAAACTTTCTACACAACATAAGGACATCAATATGTATCAGAAAATGTAATAAAAAATTGGGGTGATTTCGGAGCCATTTTTTCGAAAAAACCATGGGCTATAGCCTTGGATATTTTTCAGAATTTTGGGATTTTCTTAAAATGGCCATAACTCGAAAAATATTTCTCGGAATCAGCTCAAACTTTCTACACAGCACAAGGACATCAATATGTATCAGAAAATGTAATAAAATTTTGGGGTGATTTCGGAGCCATTTTTTCGAAAAAACCATGGGGTATAGACCAGTTGGCGCTAAGTATATTCATAAAATTTTAAGTATATTCATTGTGATACCGTAAATAAAGTAAAATTTTCCTACTGCCATTTTGGAGTCCTACTTCCAATGGTTGTCTATGGAGCGATCGTGAAAAGAGCTTATTCTCCAAAAACTGCTGTATTTATTCTTTACAGCAATATTGCTACTGCTTACTGACCATTATCCAGTGTCTATAGTTGGCTCATGGACTTTAATAAGTGCCACTAGAAGATATAGAAGCAAAGATATTGCTTTCTCCCATTCTACTCTTAGTAACTAAGACTCCAAAATGGCGGCAGGTAGTGATGGGCGATATATCGATTCTTTATCGATATAAACGATATTTTACGGAATCGATTTGAATCATTATCGAAATTTTTATGCAATTTTCATCGATCTATTGACCACGCCCATTTAGTAAGGTTAAATAATTAATTTTAATAAGTAATTGCACTTTTGAACTGCAAGAAAGAAGCAACTGACCAGTTGTTAGCTCAGCCTACCCCAATCAGAAGAGAACCAAGCTCAAGAGCATGAAAATGATCTTCTCTCATGACAAGTACAGTTATATCTGTGCCAAAATCATTAGCCACACCCTTGACACACCCCCAAAATGAAGGTGTGGTTATCGTATCGTTAATAATCGATATTTCCTTTAAAAGTCTAATATCGATCGTTATCGAAAATTAAGAAAATTAGCCATATCGCCCATCACTAGCGGCAGGAAAATTTTACTTTATTTACGGTATCACAATGAATATACTCAAAATTCTATGAATATGCTTAGCGCCAACTGGTCTATACACAGTAGGACACTCTCTTCTATTATTATCTACTCTTGCTAGTATAAACCCAAGATACACTGAACAACTTTGTTGCCAGTACCTTTGATGTGGTGAGGCAACTTGTTGCCAGAAGCTGAGAGTCTCTCTACTCTCTGCAACATGTTGCCCAGTGTTGCTCAACCACATCGAAGGTCTGACCACAAGTTGCCAGCAACAAAGTTGCTCAGTGTATGTTAGGCTTAAGCTAGAAATATTGATTGAAAGTTGAGAGTATACTACTAACAATAGTGAATAATCATAGTTACAATGAATTATATGACTTGGTGACTATATAGTCAATAAATCAAGAATAGTGAAAATAATGAATCTTATCAGTAGTGAAGGCAACTGATAAACATGTTTAACAAGTTTGTGACTAATTTTGATTACCTCATAAAACCATGATTAAATTAAATTGTTTCAATTTATACAAATAATTCATTTGACAAATAATATTAAGTTGGCTATTGTAATAATCTTGAGTATAAAAATCTTTTATTAAGTTGATGTGTAATGTACTGTATTACAATATTCGATGTTTATAAATTAAATAAATAACTTAATATTGTTTTTGCTACTACCAAATTGTTTGGTTTTGTAATCTTGGTGTTCTTATTACCATCTTTTCTTCATCGTGTAAATTCTTAGCATAGTTTATCAACTGTGCAATCTATACGTGTAATTATTAATTATAATCACTTTTATTTACTCATACCTTTCTTGCATTTGACTCATTCATGCATTTATACTTCTTGGTTGTGATTATTGATCCGTCTCCTCCTCCTTCCTCTTTCTCTCTCACTGACAGTACCAACAATACAGTTGGAATAGCTATAGAGGTTATTATAAATAATAGTGAAAATCGACAACATGCATAATAGTTACAAATACAATTTATTTTCTAGAGAATTATTTTCACATGTCATATCAAGATAAAACTCCAGCAAATTAAAAATCTGAAGCCACAAATTAAATTCACAATACAGTATATTTATACATGTATGGCAAAATCTACTAAACCTCAGTCTTACTTGTTTTAGCAGTAGTTGCTCTACACTCAGCTAGCAGCTCTAGCTTGATGAGTGAGTCTAGGGATGAGAGATCGGGTGGGCTGGTCTCAAAGAAGTACAGGTTCTGTGATGAAATGATGACTCTCATTTCATTAGATACTGATCCATTATTAAACCTCTCATATGCAATTAATCTATAGAAATAAGAGAACAATAAAATAATGAAATAAATGATGGTGACAACGATGATGATTATTATTATACAGGTGATAGCCGATATGTAGGACTGAGATTGGTTTTTTAAAGATGGTGGCTCTGTTTTTATAAATTTTATGATCATGAATGCTGTATTAATCTATTTGTGTGTGAAGAGTGTGTACTACTACATGTATTACACAAATCAAATACATTCAAGTATTACATTAATACAGATTACTTTTCCTGTATGTTCCCGTCGTTAAGGCTCAGTAAATATTCTTGTCCTCTTGCTAGTTGAATAGAGTACACTATCAATCCACTCCCACTGGCCCCAGTGCAGGCACGACGCAATCTGATTGGCTGCGGCATTTGGCGTGAGACGCGACTCATGGTTTCTCGGAGAGCAGCTGTTGTCCCAGAGGCAAAATCAAGTAAACCAGCAACAGGTTTAGCAACAGTGCCAACAACACCTTTACCAATACCCCATATAAAACCCTAAATAATAATAATAATAATAATAATAATAATAATAATAATGACTTGTCTTTTTTCTGACCCTTTAGATCAATTAATGCATCGCCTGACATTAAGAATAGAATTACATGTCAAAAGGTCAAATTGCCTACAGTTTTCATTTAAAAATGGATGTGTTAGCTGGCCTAGCATTAATGTATGAGGTGGAGTATTTCTTAACTATTGTGTTACACATAAACGCATGTTTACAAGCACTTATTGTCATATTGTATTATATATTGCTTCCTCTTTATTGTGTGGTATATGTTAATCATTAACTTACTCCCACTCCTTCCTCAACTGCTCCTTTGTAAGGTTGTGTTAGGATTGAAGTCATCCCTCCAAATATCCCACTGGTCAGGTTTATCAAACCGGCTTTAAAGTGATCCCCGCTGGTCTGACAGCTCTCAAGATTCTGCTCCCTCTCTTCTTGGAAGCTGGAGTCACCAGTAGCAGTACCAAGGACATGAGATACAGTCCCAGTTAGTTTTGAAGTTGTGTCACTCATCCCGTGAGTAACATCACGGACTAACCCAACAACATCTGGCTGTGCTGTCATTATACCATGAAGACCTGAAATTATATATAAGGATTGTGATAAAGTACATACCGGTATACATTGTAATTACAATCAACTGTAAAGCTACATGTAATCTTAACATGC